GTTTGTTCGTCTGTTTGTTTGTTCGTCTGTTTGTTTGTTCGTCTGTTTGTTTGTTCGTCTGTATGTTTGTATGTCTGTTTTTTTCTTTACGTCTGTTTCAAATGTCGTTTTCATAGGTCGGACTCGTCATAGCCAGAGAGCCATGGAGGTTTTCATTTTACTGTTAGTAGTGTTGTCCTCGATTCTTGTCTATCAACCATGTGCCGCCGACGACCAACTGGTCATGAAAACTCTCATGGAAATTTTCGAGAGTCCACAAGATTCCGACCCTGACAATTACTTCAAGACCTATGGCAAATCACTGCTTGAGCAAGCTGCTATGCTTGATGCTATGGCATTGGCTAAGCGTGGTTTAGACAAACAAGCACGAGAAGAGCTAAAATTCATGGTCATTCAAACACTGTTGGCAGACTTTCCGGAGGATTATCGCGCTGTCGGCGATCTCGTGAGACTTATAAACTCAGACCGATCTTTTTTTGCTAACACACTTTATACAGGACAAAGGTATTTTAAAGTTGCCTCTGAAGAGATAAAGAAAAAGTTATCCACTTATCGTTCAAGTCAAAAGACTGAGGATGACAAGACAAGAGTGAAGGAGCAAATTGAATCGCTGCTAAAAGGTATGCCGAAATATATATGCCATGGAACCAAAGGTGATGTACACTCGCCTCTACAACTCACTTTTGCGGTCTAGGGTTCGATTCCTGGACACGGCATCACGTGAGTGTAGAGTAGAGTTTGTTAAGAGTCTCTCCCTAACGGCTCGACTGAGGGATTTTCTCCGAAGTTCAACTCGGTTTTCCTCCCTCCGCGACACCTAACACGCTTCCAATTTCATCTAATTTCAGCAAAAGTTAAAAAGAAATTGGAGTTTAAGAAATGATGGCTATATCTTAAATTCCAATATTTTTAAGGGGAAAAAATATGAAAAAGGTCAAGCTACACAACGACGAAAAAGTCAAAAAAAATATTATCGTGGCACTTTAATAATTACGGTTTGCCAACTTTTATTTAACAGAAGGAAACGTAGCAAAGTGGAGGAATGAGCTAGAATCAAAATGGAACAAGGATTTTCAAGAAATGAAACGCCTGGGAGAGGGAACTGGAGGCAAAAAAGAAATGCGAGCTTGGCAAATGTATGGCCAAGTTAAGATTCTAGCCAAGAGGTTAAAGTTCACGGTGCCATTTGGCCCTAATGGAAAGTTTGGAGGTCCCGTAGCTGATGTCCTTGGGATTGTCGTGAGTAGCTTCGGGTTAGCGGAATGTATATCCACGGGAAACACCAATGGAATTGTCAAGAATGCCATTGGCATTGTTGGAAGTCTTGTGGGCTTGGTAGCATTTGGTTTCGTTACGCAAGGAGTTGCCATCGCGGGTCCTATTGGTGCTTTAGCAGGAGCAGTTTTCTTCATCATCCCCATGATAGTAGATTTGCTATGGCCGTCCAATTTAGCCATTGAGACAGCCAACAAGCTATCAGAGGTCTCTCGTAACGACTTGAATGGATATATTTCGCAGTTAAAGGGAATGAGAGAGGAAGGAAAGAAAAGGTACGTTATATCGTTGCAGTGAAGAAAGGAAGCCCTTTAAAAAGAACGTGTAAAAAGTTTGTAAACTGAAGTTTTCGTGGACATTCTAAGTGGGAAGAGGTTGTCAGTTAAATTTCTCTTTTGATTCCAGGGTTCCGATTCTCAAGTTTCCTTCCCTCAAAAAAAGCTACATTCCGATTCCATCTATGAATTAGTCGTTCCATTACTTAGACCAGCCCAGAAGTTGTTTTATGGATAAAATTTGAGGAAAAACTAAAGTGCAAAAAACAATTCAGCATGATTGTCTATAGTAGTTAGCTTACAGTTTACAGTCAAACTAAGAAAACCGTGAACAACTAAAATATATCTGGAATGTTAATCATCCTGTTCTGATCAATCACATGCGAGAATGAATTCATTTCTAATTAACTGTCGCATGTGATTGGTCAGGACAGGATGTTTAACATAATTCAGACATATTTTAGGTGGTCGTCATGGTTTTCTTGGATTGATTGCTCTAATTTGACTGTAAATTTTCATCATGGCTAAAGTAGCCACAAGCTGGGCACTAAATAAATAGTAATTAAAATAACACACGAGATGGTGTACTTTAACAAATACAAACCTGAATCACAAACCTGAATGCCTGCATAGCTGATCTCTATGTAGTACGTAAGAGCAACATACAGTTCAGCAACTCGAGTTTTGATCAAAGAACATGCTATGCCCAAACCATCGGTCGAACATCATACATTCTTTTTTCAAAAAGTTAGGAAATMTTTTCTAAGCAGACAGTACTAAAACATTCTTTTTTGTCTAATATGATCTTCAGTTACCTCTCTCTACTTGAAATGTCTAACTAAGTCATGCTTATTTTTCAGTTTTGGGTGGATATACCAAGTCAACAGTGGAGTGCTTATCAAGAAGGGGATCACACCAGATTCAATCATGAAGTTTACACAACCTTCTTGTGCATCAGAAGGCTCTCCATGTGACCCCAAGAAAGAGACCTACGATGGCAAGCCTTACTTGGTGTTAGGAGCGAGGAGACAGTCTACTGATTCCAGATCACAGTTTCAACTGGACATGCCGTATGACTTTATTGGCGTCCCAACCGAGTCCCGGTTCTGTGGCAACACTATCACCATCAACACAAGGTCATTTCGTCAGTACATAGAAAAAATTGACTTTGAATTGTTTGAATGGGAAGTGAAAAAAAAGATTGGCTACTATCATCGTAATGTCGAGATAGATACCAGAAATGTGCCAGAGTATAACCAAGTCAACATGGATGAATGGAGAAGGTCTAAAAGGTCGTTCATTACCAATAAGACGAAAGACCAATTGCAGGACGAGACTGAAGAGATCAAATGTGAACCTGAGAGCGATCGAATCAGCATCGATGAGCTGGAATATCTTGATCCAAACAATGGAAAAATGAAGATTAAGACTGGTTCGGGTAAAGATCTACTCTCCATCAACTCTATGATTGGCAAAGTAGACGGCAGTAAGTCTGATTTGATCGTAGCTGACTTAGGAGCCGGTGCCAATATGTTATCTCTAGGAAGTACGTTGGGTATTGGAAGGATGAATATAGGAGAACTTCTGGTAGGTGCGGTATTCGAGAACAACGAAGGCCATGGGCGAGTCTGCTATCTTCGAGAAGACTTCAAATTGCATAGATGCGTTGGGAATGTTCGAAATGTACAGATCTTTAAAGGCTCAAGGTAAGCCAAGAAGTTTAGGAATACTAGATCAGCGAAGAGATTCAGTTTAAACCACTCGCGGGTACTAAAAATATAGTCTTTTATCTTTATTCTGTTATAAGTTAGATACGTTAGATACTACGTTGAAAAAAGTCCATGTCAAGATCGAAATAGGTTGCTTTGGTCGTATAAGGACAATGTATGTAAACACAAATGCGTCTGGCTTTTGTCGATTCATCGAATTAACTCTGTGTACATGCAATGACTGACTGATCATTCTGTCCGTACATCACTAGGGAATCCGGTGACAAAATTATAAAATAGCGATCGCTCAGCATTTCGAGCAAAACTGACATTTGTATGGACAATAGTTTCAAATATGAATATTAACACATAATATTATTCTATGGGTTATTAGACGGTCGTGTAAAGAAAGACTTATAGCAATCCTTTTAGTATTCTTTTTACAATATAATTGACAAAGAAAAATGCTGCACTTTGATTTCATCTTACTCCTTCCAATTAGTTCGATGAGCCCCATGCATTTTTTTTATTTGTTCCTTGAACTTCTATTATGATCCTGATTCACCATGCGAAGTTTGAAGGGGAGGGGGTACTACAAAAGGTATTACATTTTGCGTTGTTATTACATTTTGTGCGAGTTATTACATTTTGTGGCGTAACAACGGGGTTCCACTTCCACTGTATTACAAAACAGCTGAAAAAGGCTTGTGTTAAAGCATATGTGTTCATTCCGAAGATTAATTCCTCAACATGTACTCGATAAGTTTCTATAAGGCGTTACATTCTTCCCCATTTGGAATATTGGGGTCCGCTTTTGATTGAAATAGGAAAAGTAGAGGAAAGAAAGATTGAAGGCTGTCAAAATCGTTAACATATGAGTATGTTCTTAAATACTTCGTAAAGGGTAGATCCCTTGCTGAACGTAGTATATTCAGACACTGACTTTACTTCATATGATATTGGGATAGAGTTGGATGGGGACGTACATACATACATAATTTTTGCTCTCATGTATTAATCATTAAATATTTTAAATTTTGTTGGGATATGGCTGGTTTAGGGGGAGGGTCACAATAAGCCTGAAGCAAGATGACGTTTYACCCCCTACTCTATACCATAATAGTTTTTAAAATTCTTTCATATTAAAATTTTTGATTCCTTAGAGAATACAGGAACAATAGTCATAATTAAAGAACAAAGGCAGTGTGAAAAGGATTATGGTCTAAAACGTCTAAAACGGGTCATTCCCTAAAATGGCCTCTAGCAATTAGAAATTCATTTCGAAGCCAGAAAGTAACGATTTGCACCTTTTGGACTTTTCAGGCTCAGTGACACAGTATACATAGGACCTGATGGACCGTTCACGATTATACAAAACCATGGAACTAATCTTTACTATTTTGATATGAGTAGGATCTACGCGAGGGCCAAAAATGGTAAGCAAAACTGGCATTTCAACCTTTATGTTGTATTACCAAAAGGGTTTATTACCAAAAGGGTCGAGGAAGTAGTGTAGAGATATAAAATCCAACGAAATGGCAAATGTTTTTTGAAATGACTTTCTTCATTTCAATTGTCAAATCTCAGATCCGTGTTCAGTTTACAATCTCATTTTTTGCAGTTGACCAGCATATCATTTTCCATCGCTTTGTGCCAAAAGTTCAACATCGCTCTAAGATGAACAATTAATCGGTATCTTTCAAATTAACCTGACGCAATGATCTACAAATCAAAGAGAATCAGATCTTATTCTGAGCATTAAAATAAATAAAAAAAATATTTTGTTTTTAATTTTTTAAATTTAACTGCCGTTTCTAAAATAGATCAAAATAGAGGAATCAGTGTCTAAGCCGAATGATTATTGATATTTTATTTTAGGCTCTTTCTTATTTATGTATTTTCCTAAGAGGTTTTACTTACGATACCCAAGCGAACAAGATCACGTGGTTGGAAAATGGAAAAAAAAATTAGTTGATTTGGAGCAAATTTTATAATTCTTAGACAGTTATGCAAAATGAGATAATATGTGTTTCATTATGCAACAAACATACGAAACAAGACAGCATTATCATCTACAACAACAATTGTACATCTATTCAATTTAGTTATCCGCCGTCTTTTGAAATTCCAGGAAAGATGCTTCGCTACCAGATAATGGACTACAGTGGAAATAAACCACAGATCATTATGTACAATATGGCCAAGGGAAGTAATTACATTTGGTTTAGAGCCATTGGCCGAGACAGTCCAGGGATACTATATTTCACGACTGGACGTGAAAAGAATCGCATAGCTCGAATCGACATTACTGGTCTCTTTACGATGCCAGATGTTTACCAATATGATAACAAACTATTCTGTACTGGCATAGAATAATGCTATGTTCGTACTATGCAGAAATTTAAAGTGACAAAATACAAGCTCTGTACCCGACTAGGGTCGTGGCTACTGTCCATTTCAATCGAAAATCAGTAATAGGGGATTGCACTAAGAGGTCACGTGATCGGCATTGTGACTGGCATTCTACAGGATTTTAGCTATGCGAGGAATGTAGAAAAAGATGGTGGATTCGGATAGTTTTTTTGGTGATGAAAGGTGAGTTAGAGAGGCTAAATAACGATAAAAATCGCTTATTCTTAGTAGATATCTAAAGTGGATTTTTGCTTTTAACTCACCAATGCAAGAAGAGAAACAATATGCTATTTTTAGCGATACGATGTGAAGACCTACGAAGTGTTTAGTCTCGTTTTGCAAGTATTTTTCAACTTCATTCTCGAAAATTGCATTTTTTTTGCAAGAAATATAGTTTTTATAAATATCACAAGTAAATGTTTGCTATTAATTCGCCAGGAAAAGAAAAAATTTGGTATGTTTTGAGGCCATAAAATAAATACCATATTTTCTCTCTTCTTGGCGAGTTCATATAGCAATCTACTTTAGACATCTACTATTTTTTATCGTTATTTAGTGCGCTAATTTACCTTTTACCACCATAAGAACACCCGAATCCCCCATCTTTGTTTAAAAATATCTAGCTAAAGCTTGGTGGCACTTTAAAGAAAGTGTGAGGCCATATAGAGCCATAATATGCACATTTATTGCTGTACCTCCTTGCAAGGCTAAGTGGGAAGCTGTTTATATTAACTCGCTCCGGCTCTTCGGTGGTGAGCTTCTTCTTTACTTGTTTCGAAAGTAGCGGTCTTAGTTCTGTAAGCATGCTCATCATAAGCAGGGAAACTAAGTTTTTCAAACAAGAAAAGTCAGAATGTTTTTACCTTAAGTATAGTTTAATCAGTGTCATATTTTATTATACGTAAATTTCATGAAGTAATGATATATAATAGACTAATAAAGGTTAGTCAACTTATTTCCACTGTTTTTATTTGTGTCTCTTTGAATACAATAAGTTTTGTTTCACGGGTTAAGTAAAAATCATTGTAAGGGCTTCGTGTAGAATACAAGCCGCAGAAAGGTATAGAAGTAACCAATGATCATGAATAGCTTTTAATGAAGGCATCAGATCGCTTCAGTTGCCCTGGTAGCACGTGTTTCGTTGGTAGTCATAGCAACAGTTCGCTGCTTCGCAGTCTTTTGAGCCTTGCTGTGGACAGCTTCTTCGAGAAGCCACGTTTGGTTGATAACACATGGAATCTAAAAATAATTCCGAATTAAAAAATGTATTTACGAATTCGAAAATTTAATTGATCCCATACCCTTTAAACATCTAAAGAAGCTGTGAGGCGTCGTATGAACTTCAAACCTAATTACCTTTCTTGTAGAAGCAGGTTCCAGGAAGTACAACGTGCCTGGTTGTATCCCAACCGTCTGAAAAGAAACATCGGTCCGGCCTTTTCTCACACTCTTCCACATTCGTTGCACTCACAGCAGCCAAGATTCGTTCTGATTTTGGAACTTCAATGCATTCCCTTGGCACTGTATAAGATTAAAGCATGTTAACATAGTTTTTCTTGGCCCCCCTCCCCCTCCCCCCTTCATCCTTTTTAGGCGCCTGCGCCGCGGTCCTTGCTTGCGTAAACCTTACCCATCTCCAAAGTGAAAGCATCATAAAGTGGYGGGAATCGAGGGTATCGTTGAACAGTATGAGACTTTATCAAAATAGATCCATGACCATCTTCAGCAAAGGTCCACCAGTATCTATTACGGGCAGATTTGATAGCAATTACAGGTCCACGCCAGCGAGTGAGGATGAAGTTAGCATCGCTGTCGGAAGAACTTGGATTTTGTTTTGAAAACAGTTTCTTCCAACGTGTGTCTGCGTAAAAGTAGTACCCAGATGGACGAATAACACCAGTTCTTTTATCYGTRAGCACTTCAAACCTYACAGTGTCTTGGTTGCCAATCTTGCCACAGTGTACTCGGAATGTTGTTCGTAATCCTGGAATCATGACGTCAGTTCGACCAACCGCGTCCTTTCCGCCACAACAGCGAGTTCGTACGTAACTGTTGTCGCCATTTTCCGTGCCGTAAGCCCAAAGGTATTTGTTGTTGTAGGTTCTGATACGAACGTATTTTCGATCGTTATTGTCTTTCGGACAAATTTGAGTTCTCAAGTCTGTGAAAAAATCGAACAATCAAGTATCACAAAACACATTTTGGGCTGAGAATGAAATCAGGACCCCCTTCAGTCTCTAATCAATCTTCGATGTGTTTACAAAGTGCCGAGAACTGTCATGTCATTCATAGTGACGAATCTTCCCAAAAAAACTAAAGTGATATAAGGAAAAGGGGTTTTGCACATGCCCTGGAAGTGTCTTGAATAAGAAAATACATTACTTAAAGAGAAAGTTACAGATACCATAGTACAGTCAACTCTCGCTACAGCGGACACCCTCGGGACCATCACTAGGTGGCCGTAATAGCGAGCGTCCGCAATAGGGAGAATTAATTACGGTCATTTCTTTGTCAGTATTTTTGGCCAGGGATTTTTCAATAACAAGGTTTATCATATGACCCGTACGGCCCTTCTCGCGCGCTCTAATAAAACCATTGGAAAAAAGTCACGTGATGGGGGCCGGACGGGTTGACGTAAGCGGGCCGGAAAAAACCCGTCCGGCCCTGCTCGAATCCGCGCGCTTTCTTTTTCTTAATTATTTTTATTTTCGTGAGGGTCATATGATAACATGCTTATTGACTGAGTTGGGTCGGGCCGTACGGGAAAATATTTGGCTCTTGGTCATTTGTACGGACCTCGCTGCGCTCGGTCCGTACGACATGACCTCGAGCCAAATATTTTCCCGTACGGCCCTCCCACTCAGTCAATAAGTACATAGTCCGTAATATCGGGGTGTCCACAAGGCGAGAGTTGACTGTAATTATTATCCCACAAATGTATATTGAGATTTGATCGATATGGAAGAAACCTTGTACCTTCCTGTTTCTTTTCACACGACGAATGTAGCTGTCCATAGGAAAGCCTATTCCCGCAAACTCCTGAAAATATAATTGAAAAAATAAATCACCTGTTCTATGAATCCTAACAAAGTTTCCTATTTGTATCCAGTATCCCCAACAGAGAAAGAGAAAGAGAAAGAGAGCGAGCTAGAGAAAGAGAGAGACCCCAAATTATAAATTTGGTTTCCATGAAAGCCGTTATGTATAAGTATAAAATAAGAAAATATGTACAATAAATATAATTGTTATCAAATAAAGAACCTATATATCTAAGAAATATTTATTCAGAAATAGTATAGGATTTTTAAAAATCTCTTTTTAAACAATGTCAGAGAAGTTATTTTTCTAAGATCTGTCGAGAGAAAGTTCCGAAATTTGGGCCCAGAAAATAAGAACGATATTTTCGCAAATGTTCAGATTTTGGTTTAGGTAAGTTGAAATTGATTTATTCCTTAAGCCGTGAGGGCTTCTTGATTCAACAGTGGAAAATGTTTTGGCAAGACTTTTTGGTGCTAATTTGTTGTAAAGTTTGTACAACAATGATCCCTAGTATGTTTAGCCCTTCTTTGTGATAGATCATCCCAAGCCGGATCTTTTCTTACATCTTGTGATCTTATTTTATAAGTTGATTTTGTGATTACTCTGCCAGCTCTATTTTAAAACCTTTATAGCCTCGCAGCTAGGTCTTTAGAAAGGTTACCCCAGACTACATCACAATGATTAAATGCGGTTGTATTAAGGAATTGGAAATTGAAATGTAAGAACACTTTTGTTAACAAATGGTCTAATTTGTTTGAGAAAAAGAGAAAGAGAAAGAGAAAGAGAAAGAGAAAGAGAAAGAGAAAGAGAAAGAGAAAGAGGTAGACAGTCCTAAGTTGGCTTAATAAAATAAAAACATTCGTTGGATGTTTCCTACTAACCTTGGAGACATATTTCTAGCATTGCCACCACCAACAGCAGCAAGAGATACATCCCGACACGACTAACAGATGCCTTCAGTCTGTTTCTCTGAGATTTCTAGCAAATCAAGAGGCCGGTTATTTTTACAATTATAGTCAGTTTTTCTTAACCACTTTTCGATATATCGGCACATTTGTCGTTTAGCTGAAAATGTCTTCTAATTTTTCAACAGCACCTCATGATACCTATTTCATATCTTAACCAAAGTGGAGATTCTACGGCATTGAAAAACGCTTTTAAGTTTTCAAAAAACGTTTTACATTATTTTCTTTTGGCTTAAGAGACATGGCAAAATGTGTCGAGAGAGAAAATTAGTGTTACGCATACTCACTCAGTATTCAGTGCTATGAGAGTAAGTCTCACTGGACGGCAAACTTAACGTTCCAACCGATGTCTTGTTCTTGTTGCTTTTGTGACCTTCGACTTTGATGCTTCACAATTTACTGGGATAACATCATGGTAAAAGTCAAGTACCATTTGACAGCTAAAATAATTACGTCTTTACTGACCGTTTCCTCCGACTAATTACAAATATTTTGGATATCTTTTGATTAAAAATGTAAAAGATATTTCAAAGTTAAAACAAACTTTGATCATCTTTGCAAGGTGTATCGTGATAATGACACTAGGTTAGAACAAATGCTTTTATTGCAAATAAAAAAAAAAAAGAAACTTTAAGTTGCCTTAAAGAATGAAAAACAGAAAGTGCAGTGAATGTGAAAATTTTCGGACAACCTCATGGATTTGGGAGTTCATTTTTGGCGTTTTCAAATTCCTTGTGTCGATAAACCGATAGCTAATGGTTATGGGCTGTAAAAAAAAAGAACTCAAATAATTTATTTAAATAGCAAACACCCCCACAGTCGTCTTTTGGTAGGTTCTTGCTCTTTTTCAGGGGTCCAGCCTGTGAAAATGAAAGATATTATTCTAACGTTAGGGTATGTTAACAAGCGTAAATAACTGCCTTTGTAGTACACACCAGCCCGTCAATCAAGCACGACCTGGCCATGGACTACCCGTTTTCATTATGTCTAATGAATAGTCTCTAAATGAAATTCTTTCTTTTTTCTTTCTTTCTTT